GACGTTGCGAGTATTCGTTTAGCGCGAGAATTACAAAAGCTACCGTAGCGAACGCAAATTAATTTACAACGCGATACATAACATTCTTTACCAATCAAAGTTGTATGGAAAACGAAAAAACTTCCAGACCGCCCTAATACTTGCAAAAATGACTAAATAAATATTCTTTCTAAATCTTAGCATTTCGGCACTTAGAGCCTATTTTGTAAGTGACAGATCATATTCAGCCCTTGTTCTTCGTTTGGTACATCAAAATCAAGAGAGTCACTGCAAGTACTAATGCCAGCGTGATTGCAATATTTTCTATAGTAGTGTTTCGTATTTTGGCCATCTGACTCAGAACAATATAAAATATAAAAGCTACCTATGTATCCAGATTTGTATGTATGAAATGTGCCTCTTCCGTGATATGATACTGTTACATGTGAAAAAATGTGAAGAACATCGAACAAGACAAATGGTAATGCTTTCCCTAGAACGACCACGGCACACTGATATTCCTCAAAAGAGGATTTTTCCAACGAGCACTTCAATACATTTCGAGGATTCGCTACTGCTGTCTCGTACTTTATGGAGGAGAAGAAAACTACTGCTACGGTCAATTGTGCACATTAAACAGCTACTGACTGTTTGCTCCAAAAAGGCGCAGAGAATATACTGTTGGGAAAAAAATAACAACTATGCCAATTGAGAGTGCAAAAAGACAATGATTAGTGCTACGATCAAAATGATGGCTCTTTTTCTTACTTCTGCCAACAAAGAGATAGCTGAACTTAACCATGATTGTCGAGTATTAATGGAGTCACTCACAATTTGAACAGGCGTTAACGTGTTGTAATGAGATACGTTTTGATGAAAGGTCAGAATGAATCCAAAAAGCCAACTGATAGCTGTGCTAAACCCCATTTATCGTCGTTGTTTGAAAACTTAATGATTGTAATGTGTCTTCGATTTGCTAACTTAATGAAGCATCTTCGGCGCAGATTTTTGAGCAAATTATAATGAAGGTTTGCTTGCAGCTCACCTATTTCCATTTAAAAATTCACTTCAATGCTATGAAGCAAACATAAGTGGGAGAATGGGATTACAACAAAGATTTGGTAGCATAAGATCAGAGATAAATTGAGTGATTATGAGGATCTACGAAAGACCAGCGAACGTCTTGGGACTCTGAACGCCTGATTCAACTTATTTATGCTATGTTTCTTAGAGTAAACTTTGCGGTACAGACTGACTCAACAAAAGCCTAGTATTTCTTTTTTTTAATACTAGTACTATTACTTGTCCTACTATTTTGAAAAAGCCCAATGGAAAAATCGTTAAAGCATTGAGTTTTGTCCAAATATAGAAGCCATTATGTTCAAAATCACCGAAAGAGCCTTGCCAATAACATTTCTGAAAGGCAGCGGAGCGTCCACAGATCGATTTTCATTCCATTGCGAAGAAATAAAAACTCCACCTGAAACATAGGGACGATAGTGTATTCCATGACACATCTTGTTTATTAGAGCTATTAGCTAATTATGGAGTCGACTGTATCTATCTCTTCCATGGAGATGAAACTTAGGAAAAGCGAAAGTTTGCTGTGATAGACCAACTATCTTCTATGCACATAAGTGGGAATTTGTTTGCGATAAGTCAGCAAACAAAATCAAAGTATTTTGAAAAATTGTGAAACAAAACAACATTGATTTAAAC